TAAAATAAAATTATGAATTTAAAAAACTTCAGGAGCAATACTGTCAAGAAGATGAAATCATGCATTGCTTGATGTACTTGAAAGTACCAAGGAGAAATTTTCACAGTTGGGGAGAGTTTGGAGGTAAAGGAGGAATATAAAGAAAAACAAACATCTGAACAAAAAAGCCATTAATAACATCAAGAAAAACTAAACATTGGCAAGGAAAGAAATCATACTAAAGTATGTACAGCTATGAATAGTTTACAAAGTGATAATAGTGTAAACATCAAATATTGATCTAACAAAATCATATTATTGGATTGAGAGGATACCAGATCTGATGTGTGTAGGTAAGTCGCAGCTCACCTGAACTGGGAGGAGAGTGAGAGATAGTGGTATATTTTTTTTTACCCCAGAATTCTTAGCTTAGTTTCTGTGTACCTGAACACATTGACTGTCACACTAGAAAAAATTTTTTTTTCCCTGGGAACACGGTGTTTTATTACAAAAATAGAATAAAAATTTGAAAAATGATCCTTTCTAATTTAATGAAAATTTTGTTATTTTTTATTTTTTTTTTTGTGCATGAGTTATACGCAAGTCATGTGGCACTAGAATCAATATTTACACTGCACACCAATTGAGTTGTATGTGACTCACAACATACTTATTGAATTTGTTTCGGAGAATTGAGTCTCATATGGTTCACGAGGCCCCAGAGCCTCGTATTCTATTATTATTATTCTATTATTCTACTTTCAATGGCCTCTGAATGATCAAAGTTCTCACTGACAAATATCAACTATCCTCATACATGGTAAAAAGCATTACAAAGTACTTTAATTTAGTCTGAATTAACAAATAAGAATTTCCTAACTACTAAATAATTCCTATAAATCAAATAAATTCAACTTATTAATGTTGAATTTGGTGAACATGAAGTTCTCTTCAATATTCCAATACTGAATACAAATTAAGATTTTATCTTAAAGTCACACGTCTAAATCAATTACTTATCTATTTCTAAATGAAATTACGAGACTGTCTCTCTAACATGCCAAATTATCTAAAATATTATAACATAAAATACCATGTATACAGATTCTTTTCTTTTTTTGCCACTTTGAAACACAATTGAAGTACAATGAACTGCTTATATTAAAAGGTGTACAATTTCAATTTTGACATATGTAGACACATTAGTGAAACCATCACTGTAATAAAGATAATGCACATTTCCATCACCCTCAAGAGTTTTTCCTAGTGCCTCTTTCCAATCCATCCCTTCCTCCATCCCCATCCCCAGGCAATCTCTCCTCCTTGCTTTCTGTTATTATAGATTAATCTGCACATTCTAGGATTTTACATAAATGACAGATTCCTTTTTATACAATTAGTAATACCATGGTTTTAATTCTCTTAAATTTTCTACACCCAATTCTGAAATTGAGTTAAAAGGAGTTAAAATTCACACACAATAACAACTCTAGAACTGCAAATATCCTGTTACACCAACTAAGGAACAATAATATCGGCCTAAATCATTTTGGTATAAGAAACAGATTTCAGACCAGAGATTTTCATTGGAATACTTCCTGGATTAAATTCTTGTTGGTGACACGAATAGGACCTCCAATTTCAATTTGTACTTGCTATGTTAATGATTCTATAATCGCTAGATGGAATGGTTATGGAGCTCAGATCCATGAGTTTCAGTTGTATATGCACATAATTGTTCTGCTTACCCACAGAAGTTTCTAACTTCATCCTGTGAGCCTCTGAATGGAGTTTTGCCTTTCTTTGGCTCTTAATTCATATTCTGCTTAGGTCTCAAGGCCTTTGACCTTGTCAGACACTTTCAATTTCTCCTGCACTTCCTTGGCCTATAGAACTCCCACGAAGAGTACAAGCACAAGCCTGACTGAATTCCAGGAATCACTCCCCGATGAGCTTGTTCATGAAGCCCCATCTACTGATGTCAGAACTGTAGCTTCACCTTCCTGACTAGTATTTAATAGATAGTGTTTTAAGCAGAACGAAAAGGTCAAGAAAAAGAAATATAATGAAAGCGTCAAAAAAGTTCCAAAGGATTCCCTTTGGTGTCCAAACCACGTGGACCATTTGTAGTTGGGTGTGTTCATGGCTGCATTAATTAGAAGCGTGCACGCCTGTACTCCCAGCTACTGGGAAGGCTGGGGTTGGGGGGCGGATTGTTTGAGCCCAGGAGTTCCAGGCTAGCCGGGGCAACAAAGGGAGATCCCAAAACTTAAAACAACAACAACAAAAACTCACTTACTTTTGACAGTGCTCCGCTGCCTTTAACAGGTAACAGAAGAGAGAAGAATTTGGAAACGTGACGCTCAGAGGGAGGGAACTTAGTGGCTGAGATTCAGGAGGACGTTGTGGACCTATGAAGTTTTCAGTCCCGCAAGTATCAGTTCTTTCCTCTGTGGGAGATACTGTCCTGATATTGGAGCTTCCCTATCCACACTTTCCTGAGCCCATGATTATGACTCCTGCGGCTACGCAGCGGATACCTCACAGCCTGAGTCTAGCCTCTCGCTCCGCGCGCGCTAGGAAAAGGGCTGGTCTGTACGGACAGGACACTCAGAGAGCGGCCCGGGACCCAGTGCACTTGCGCGGCCGCGGAAGAAGCCCGGCTGCCGGGGACCTGGAGGCGAGGCCTGGGATCCAATGAGAAGGGCGCAGGTGGGGAAGGGCTGGCTAAAAGCCCTTCAAATAAGGCCCAGGCTGAGCCGCGGTTCCTAGCGCCTTTCTCCTGCGCGGCCTTCGGCTTTGCAGCGGTACGGGTACTCCCGAGAGGCCGGCCGCAGCATGGCCACTCCCAAGCGGTTTCCAACACTTGTGCAACTGCACCAGCGAGAAGGGACGCTATTCGAGGTGCTCGGTACCCCCACCAAAATACCCTCCTGGTTCCACTATGAGTTCCTGAAGAGTCCGAAGGCAGTTCACCTTGAGGCTTGGTTGGTGGAAGCAATCTTCGGTAAGTGGGCCAGGGACGGGCGGCCAATGCGATCTCCTCAACCCACCCCGACCCACGGCCCTCGCAGTCTGGCCGCGTACCAGGGCAAGCCTGCGCAGTAGCCAATGCCCTCGGCTGCCTCCTCCCTCCACTTTCGCCTCCCAAGACCCCGGGAGCCACCCTGCCCCTCATAACGCCTCTGCTCCTGGAGCAGGCCCGGGCGGAGAGCACATTCTGGACATCGAGTGTGTGTCCCACATCCTTCTTCACGTGAATCGCTGGGACCCGGAAGGAGAGGCTGAGATCTTGATATTTGGGCGGCCTTATTACCAGAAGGACACAGCCAAATTAATCATGAACTTGGCTGACTATCACCGCCAGCTCCGGGCGCAAGGTACTGACCGTGCCGGGAACTGGGAGGGCTACCCAGAGCAAACCCCGGCTCCTTAGGCGTGATCCTGATGTTTCCTGGCTGCATGGGCAGCGATGTCACCCTCCCAGTCGGCGCCGGAGAGGGTCTTCCCTTTGCGAGGGATCTAGCAGGCCAAACCGAACTCGGGTTCTGGGATTCCGGGCTCCTACTCCCGCAGCCCGCACGGTGACTATCCTTTTGTGGAGAGGGTATGGGGATACGGGTGTGGCCTCTGCACACTGCTCTTTTTCCAGGCTCAGAGGAGGTCCCTACTGAGGAAACCAAGACTCAGCAGTTTCCGAAGGCTGTCCGGGAGGTCGGGACCCAGCGGTCTCCTGAAGCTAACGGGGAGGCTGGGATCCAGCGGTCTCCGGTCCAAGTCCGGGAGGCTGCGACCCAGTGGCCTCCGGTCGAGGTCCGGGAGGTCGGGACCCAGCAGTCTCTGGAGGCTGTGGGCGAGGCCGGGACTCAGAGGTCTTCCGAGGCTGCCTGGGACCCAGTTACCAGGTTATAAAGGCATCTCAGGTCCTGAGAGGCCTGTTCTTCTAAGCCCTATTTCTGCCACAGATGCTGGGGGGAGAATGATGTCGATTGTCTTTGTTGTCCCCTTCTGTTAAATGTTTGCAAACACACACTTAAGAGTTGTAATAAAGAATTGCATTTCCCTAACGTCTGTTAATTGGAAGGTAGAGGGGGAAGGGAAAGGCACATTCCTCCAGCAGCCAAGTTCTGGCCCTAAGTTGCTCTCTACCGCAAAGCAGGTGGGGACCTTTTGGATTTCTTCCCCCGCTGCAGTCAGGTGTGCCCCTTATGGTCCTTAACTGCGTACATCTGGCTTTGCTGGGTGAGAGGCCTCTTGAGCCCACTAAGTTGAAAACCTCTCCAAGCTCGTTGTGGTTCTACTCCAGGTGACTTAGGATGCCAAAATCTGGTTGTGAC